ATCCAGTTTACGATCGACCAGGAGGACCTCTGTCTTGTCAGGATTGATCTTCAGCTTGTTCCTCCTCATCCAGATAGACACAGCGGCCAGGCACTCGTCCAGCACCCGAGAGGCCTCCTTGGAATTAGGTGGAAAAGAGTAGTAGAGTTGTGTCATCTGCGTAGAGATGGCACCCAACTCCAAAACTCCGGATGACCTCTCCCAGCGGTTTCATGTAGATGTTAAAGAGCATGGGAGACAGAATAGAGCCTTGCGGGACCCCACAGGTCAAAGGCCAGGGGTCCGAGCAGGCGTCTCCCAGCTTCACCATCTGGGTTCGTCCCTCCAGGAAGGACCGGAGCCACGACAGGACCGTGCCCCCGAGACCCATCCCAGAGAGGCGACCCAGAAGGATACCATGATCGATGGTATCGAAAGCCGCTGAGATGTCCAAGAGAACCAACAGAGTCACACTCCCCCTGTCCAGCTCTCTACGGAGGTCATCCACCAAGGCGACCAAGGCTGTCTCGGTGCCGTGACCAGGCCTGAAACCAGACTGTGACTGATCTAGGTAGTTGATGTCATCCAAAAAGCCCTGGAGCTGGGAGGCGACCACCCGCTCCAGCACCTTACCCAAAAAAGGGAGGTTGGAGATTGGCCTGTAATTGTTCAGCACCGTGGAGTCAAGGGAAGTCTTTTTAAGGAGTGGGCGAACCACAGCTTGTTTCAAGTTAGATGGAAAAATCCCTTGCTCCAACGATGCATTAATGATCAACACAAACCAATCAACCAACCCCTCCTTGGCAGATTTAATAAGCCAGGATGGGCAAGGGTCTAGAGTCAAAGTGGTCGCCCTCACAGCCCCAAGAACCTCTTCCACGGTCTCAGGAAGAACAAGCCTAAAAGAATCCCACAAAATTGGACAAGCAGATGCCTCAATCACCTCTTCTGGCACTGCGTTGAAATTGGAGTCGAGCTCAAGGTGTATCTGAGCAACTCTGCCTGAAAAATGGCGAAGTCGCAACACCGAGCTGCTGGGTCGTCAGAGATCTCCTCCACCGCAGGTGGGTGAAGGAGCTCCCCGACAACCCGAAACAGCTCCGATGATCTATTTGCTGCAGACGCTATACGGGTGGTCGTGAAAGATTCCCTGGCCACCCGTATAGCCACGGAGTATGCCCTAAGAGAGGCTTTAGCCCGTGCTTGATCAGACACGTCCCGAGATCTCCTCCACTTGTGCTCTAGCCCCCTTCTCGTATGCTTCATCACAGCCAGCTCCTCGGTGAACCAGGGAGACGGCCTGTCACGACGCAATGAGATGGGGCGTTCGGGAGCGATCGTATCTATTGCCCTGGACATCTCCCTATTGTAGAGATCCACCAAGGCGTCGATAGAATCGCCAAGCTCCATGACAGGAAGAACCCCAAGATTCCTCAGGAATCCATCCAGATCCATCAGTCTCCTAGGGCGGACCATTTTAATCTGTCCTCCACCCCTGCGAAGGTTAAGGGTCGCAGAGAGTCAGTGCTCTTTGGATGTGGGTGAACTACAACTCCCATATGCCAAGGTCAATCATCCCCAAACCCCGTCTGTATTCACAGTTGGTCACCTTGGGTCTGTGTGCCCAGTTTGGTCCAGATCCATCATTGTGTGATCTCTGGCTGTAGGTGAACTACAACTCCCAAACCCACCAAACCCTTCCAGTGTTTTCTGTTGGTCATGGGAGTTCTGTGTGCCAAGTTTGGTTCAATTCCATCGTTGGTGAAGTTTGGAATGCTCTTTTATCGTAGGTTGACTATAAACACCAGCAACTACAACTCCTAAATGACAAAATCAATCCCCACCCCACCCCACCAGTATTCAAATTTGGCCATATCAGGTATTTGTGCCAAATTTGGTCCAGTGAATGAAAATACATCCTGCATATCAGATATTTACCTTACGATTCATAACAGTAGCAATATTACAGTTACGAAGTAGCAACTAAAATAATTTTATGGTTGTGGGTCGCCACAACACGAGGAACTGTATTAAGGGGTTGCGGCACTGGGAAGGTTGAGAACCACTGCTTTAGTCCAAACTTTTCCAAGTGGGAAATTAAAAACCTCATCACACTAGAGAATGAATCCATTTTAAATCTGGTTGCTGCCTCCTGCAGAATTCTAGGGTTTGTAGTTTATGGAGGAGCCCTTACAGCCTCACTAAACTACAAACCACAGAATTCTGCCAAAATCGAATGTGAAGTGGATTCATTCTCTAGTATGTTGAAGTAGTAAACCTCTTTTCTCCAGTTTACAGACAAAAGACCCTCCTTAGATGGGTGCTTGTTCAATGCCACACATCCCTCAGATCCTTTGGTCTAGATCCGTCATCAACTGGATTCAGTGCTCTTTGGATGTGGGTGAAGTACAACTCCCATATGCCAAGGTCAATCACCCCCCAAGCCCCACCTGTATACAGAGTTGGTCAGAATTGTGTGTGGATGTGTTTGGGGGGAAATGGGAGGACAAGTGTGGGAAGAGAAAGGAAGAAACTCTTCCCTTTGAACATGAGTAACCCCTTTTAGTACAATGAGAACACACCCTAGGGTGCATCCTCCTACACTAGGGAATGAATGCAGTTCTTAGACCATGTTGATTCCCATGGCCCCATGCTACAGAACCATGGGAGGTGTAGTTTCACAAGGTTTTCAACCCAAGAGTGCTGATGTGTCATAGAATCACTGAGGTGGAAGAGACCTCGTGGGCCATCCAGTCCAACCCCCTGCCAAGAAGCAGGAAAATTGCATTCAAAGCACCCCCGACAGATGGCCATGCAGCCTCAGTTTAAAAGCTTCCAAAGAAGGAGCCTCCACCACACTCCGGGGCAGAGAGTTCCACTGCTGAACAGCTCTCACAGTCAGGAAGTTCTTCCTAATGTTCAGATGGAATCTCCTTTCTTGTAGTTTGAAGCCATTGTTCTGCGTCCTAGAAAACAAGCTTGTTTCCTCCTCCCTGTGACTTCCCCTCACATATTTATACATGGCCATCATGTCATAGAATCATAGAATCAAAGAGTTGGAAGAGACCTCATGGGCCATCCAGTCCAACCCCCTTCTGCCAAGAAGCAGGAATATTGCATTCAAATCACCCCTGACAGATGGCCATCCAGCCTCTGTTTAAAAGCTTCCAAAGAAGGAGCCTCCACCACACTCCGGGGCAGAGAGTTCCACTGCTGAACGGCTCTCACAGTCAGGAAGTTCTTCCTCATGTTCAGATGGAATCTCCTCTCTTGTAGTTTGAAGCCATTGTTCCGCGTCCTAGTCTCCAAGGAAGCAGAAAACAAACTTGCTCCCTCCTCCCTGTGGCTTCCTCTCACATATTTATACATGGCTATCATATCCCCTCTCAGCCTTCTCTTCTTCAGGCTAAACATGCCCAGCTCCTTAAGCCGCTCCTCATAGGGCTTGTTCTCCAGACCCTTGATCATTTTAGTCGTCCTCCTCTGGACACATTCCAGCTTCTCAATCTCTCTCTTCAATTGTGGTGCCCAGAATTGGACACAATATTCCAAATGTGGTCTAACCAAAACAGAATAGAGGGGTAGCATGACTTCCCTGGATCTAGGCGCTATGCTCCTATTGATGCAGGCCAAAATCCCATTGGCTTTTTTTGCCGCCACATCACATTGTTGGCTCATGTTTAACTTGTTGTCCACGAGGACTCCAAGATCTTTTTCACACATACTACTCTCGAGCGAGGCGTCCCCCATTTTGTATCTTTGCATTTTGTTTTTCCTGCCAAAGTGGAGTATCTTGCATTTGTCACTGTTGAACTTCATTTTGTTAGTTTTGGCCCATCTCTCTAATCTGTCAAGATCGTTTTGTCTCCTCTCAGCCTTCTCTTCTGAAGGGTAAACATGCCCAGCTCTTTAAGCCGTTCCTCATAGGGCTTGTTCTCCAGACCCTTGACTTCTCCTCATATATTTATACATGGCCATCATGTCTCCTCTCAGCCTGCACTTCTGAAGGCTAAACATGCCCAGCTCTTTAAGCCGTTCCTCATAGGGCTTGTTCTGCAGACACCTGACTTCCCCTCACATATTTTTATACATGGCCATCATGTCTCCTCTCAAACCTGTACTTGTGAAGGCTGATCATGCCCAGCTTTTAAGCCGCTCCTCATAGAGCTTGTTCTCCAGACCCTTGACTTCCCCTCACATATTTATAGATGGCCATCATGTCTCCTCTCAGACCTGCACTTTTGAAGGCCAAACATGCCCAGCTCTTTAAGTCGCTCCTCATAGGGCTTGTTCTCCAGACCCTTGACTTCCCTTCACATATTTATACATGGCCATCATGTCTCTTCTCAGCTTTCTCTTCTGCGGGCTAAACATGTCCAGCTCTTTAAGCCGCTCCTCATAGGGCTTGTTCTCCAGACCCTTGAATATTTTAGTCGCCCTCCCCTGGACACCTTCCAGCTTGTTAATACCTCTCTTCAATTGTGGTGCCCAGAATTGGGACACAGTATTCCAGGTGTGGTCTGACCATGGCAGAATAGAGGAGTAGCATGACTTCCCTGGATCTTGACACTATATTCCTCAATTAATGCAGGCCAAAATCCCATTGGCTGTTTTAGACGCCGCTGAACATTGCTGGCTCATGTTTCAACTTGTTCAAACTACAACTCCCAGGATTCCTCAGCAGTTAGAGTGGGGGTCAAGTTTAGTGTAGCTCAGGCATGAGCAAACTTCGGCCCTCCCTCCGGGTGTTTTGGACTACAACTCCCACAATTCCTAACAGCCGGTAGGCTGTTAGGAATTGTGGGAGTTGTAGTCCAAAACACCCGGAGGGAGGGCCGAAGTTTGCTCATGCCTGCTGCAAGGAATCCACCCGGGACAAGGGTTAGGAAGGCAGGCAGGCATGGGGCGTGGGTGTTCTAGGAAGAGGCGTGGCGGGGAGTGGAGCCACAGAGCCTTCCTTGGGAGAGGAAGAAGAGGAGGAAGCGGAGGCGGGTCCTCTGCTTGGTGGGAAGGGGCTTCACCTGAGCTGTCGCCCTCCTCGGAGACGGAGGAGCTCTCGGACTCCTCCTCCTCGGAGCTGGAGCCCTCGTTCTCGCCGTAGTCCACCTCCATCTCGTCGTGGTGGTTCTCTTTCTTCTCCCGCGAGTGCACCGGCATCGCGCCCGCGCCTCCCGCCGCAGCCAGCCCCGCGCCCCAAGCCCCGCCCCTCGCCCAAACCCCGCCATCCACCTTTTTCCCGCCGCCCCGCCTCTCCCCCGCGCAACCTAACCCCGCGGATCCCGGCGCCTATTGGGCGCCTCGCCGGTGACGCAGCCAGGGGGCGGGGCCGTAGCCGGAGCGACGCGTGGCGTCGGCGTCGCCTGTTTTGGGGAAGAGCACCTCGGGAGATGTAGTCGCCCAAGGAGGAGGGCGGGGCCCAGAGAGGGTGGCAGTCAGTCAAGGCTTATTTGGAAAAGGGAGTGGTTTGGAACTGCCTTTTCTTATAGTTTGGGAACCACAACAGCCCCTTCAGGACTAGAATAATAAAGATCAGCCTCGTCAGGAGAGAATGGTTCTGGAACATGGCCATATAGCCTGAAAAACTTTCAGCAGCCTCTGCTGCTTTCGGGTGCCGGCTACACAGCGGGTGGGCAGGAAAAGAGATTTAAAGATGGGCTCAAAGCCAACCTTAAAAACTCTGGCATACTGAGAACTGGGAAGCTCTGGCCCTGAGCGCTCCAGCTGGAGGTCAGCTGTGACCAGCAGTGCTGTAGAATTTGAAGAAGCACAAATGGGGGTAGACAGTGAGAACTGGGAAGCCCTGGCCGTTGAGCGCTCCAGCTGGAGGTCAGCTGTGACCAGCAGTGCTGTAGAATTTGAAGAGGCACAAATGGAGGTAGACAGTGAGAACTGGGAAGCCCTGGCCCTTGAGCACGCCAGCTGGAGGTCAGCTGTGACCAGCAGTGCTGTAGAATTTGAAGAGGCACGATTGGAGGGAGAAAGGGAGAAACGTGCCAAGAGGAAGGCACATCAATCCAACCCCGACCGAGACTGTCTTCCACCTGGAAACATATGCCCTCACTGCGGGAGAAGATGCAGATCAAGAATAGGGCTCCATTGTCACCTCCGTACCCACTGCCACTACACTTATCCTGGAAGGCTATCCTTCTCGGACAACAAGGGATCGCCTATGTAAGTAAGTAATAAAGATCAACCTCGTCAGGAGAGAATGCTTCTGGAACATGGCTATACAGCCCGAAAAGCCCGACAGCAGCCTGTGCTGCTTTTGGGTGCCAGCTACACAGCAGGTGGGCAGGAAAAGAGATTTAAAGATGAGCTCAAAGCCAACCTTAAAAACTCTGGCATAGAAACTGAGAACTGAGAAGTCCTGACCCTTGAGCGCTCCAGCTGGAGGTCAGCTGTGACCAGCAGTGCTGTAGAATTTGAAGAGGCACGAATTGAGGACGAAAGGGAGAAATGTGCCAAGAGGAAGGTACATCAAGCCAACCCCGACCGAGAGCGTCTTCCATCAAGAAACCAATGCCCTTGCTGCAGGAGAAGATGCAGATCAAGAATAGGGCTCCACAGTCACCTCCGTACCCACCGCCAGTGCACTGATCCTGGAAGACTATCCTACTCGGACAATGAGGGATCGCCTATGTAAGTAATAAAGATCAGCCTCATCAGGAGATAATGCTTCTGGAACATGGCCATACAGCCCGAAAACACTTACAGCAGCCTGTGCTGCTTTCGGGTTGCAGCTACACAGCAGTTTTAATGCAGTTTGGCACCACTTTAACTGCCACAGCTCCATGCTATGAAATCCTGGGAGTTGTAGTTTGGAGAGGCTCCAGTCATCTTTGGCATAGAAGGCTAAAGTCCTTGTAAAACTACAACAGCCTTGATTCCATAGCATAGAGCCATCACTTAAAGTGATGTCAAACTGAATTAATTCTACAGTATAGACCAACTTTGGCCTTCCCTCCAAGTGTTTTGGACTGCAACTGCCACCATTCCTAATAGCCTCAGGCCCTTTCCTTTTCCCTGTAAGCCGCTTAAGGAAGGAGCCTGAGGCTGCTAGGAATGATGGGAGTTGCAATCCAAAACACCTGGAGGGAAGGCCAAAGTTGTCCCATGTCTGGTGTAGGCATACCCTAACTGGAGGTCAGCTGTAACCAGCAGTGCTGCAGAATTTGAAGCGGCATGAATCGAGAGCGAAAGGGAGAAACATGCCAAGAGAAAGGCACGTCAAGCCAACCCTGACCGGGACCACCTTCCATTTTGAAACTGATGTCCTCACTGCGGGAGAACATGTGGATCAAGAATAGGGCTCCACAGCCACCTACGGACTCATTGCCAAGACACCACATCTGGAAGACAATAATCCTCAATGAAAATGAAGACACGCCCTTCCTCTGCCTTCTGTTAGACCCTCAAAAAGAGCAGAGAGGAAACATTGCCAGGAAGTCCTCTGGAAAATCTTCCCTGCATTGTTTTCCTTTTTGAGTGGCATCTACACCGTTGAATCAAGTATAATCCCACTTGGAACTGCCACAGCTCAGTGTTATGGAATCCTGTTTTTTGTACTATGATGAGGCACCAGCACTCTTTGGCAGTGAAGGCTAAAGACCGTGTAAAACCATAGCCGTTCAAATAGTGTCAAACTACATTAACCTGACAGTATAGGTATGCCCCCAGTTCTGTAAATTCTGTGGAGAGAGAGAGCGGCACATTTTGCAGTAGTTGCGATTTCTACTTATCATCCCTTTTTCTGGACATTAGGGCTAAAAGGGTCATTAGAGGCAAAATGGAGATTCTTCTGTCTCAGGGCCCTTTCACACAGCCACATAACCGAGAATATCAAGGCAGGAAATCTCACAATATCTGCTTTGAACTGGGTTATCTGAGTCCACGCTGCTATATATTCCAGTTCAGAGCAGATATTATGTTATTTCCTGCCTTGATAGTCTGAATTATATGGCCATGTAGAAGGGCCCTCTGACATAAGGATGGTCATTCAAGCTGCACTCCTTATCTGGTCACCTCATGGCTGGACGTCAGCAACATGTTCTACATTGGGCTACCTCTGTACCAAATTTGGAAACTCCAGTTAGTCCAGTTAGTCCCCCCATACAGCATAAGAATTTAGTAGGAAGAGCTAATTTATGGACTGTAAGAAGAATAGAAAAATGTTTGATGTAAAGTATAGTGAAGGTGAATAAATCAAAGACTAGTTCTGGAGGAAGGTCATATTGTGTAAATGGGGAGAAGTGTACAATAGAAATGTATGCATTTGGCAGCTAATTGAATTCCAGATATTCTGTTAATCTATAACTACAAGAAGTCCAGTGGCACCTTGGGTTATTTTGTTTGTCCTTGCGGGAGCTGAGTTACAGTTCAAGATAAGCTTAAATTTTTTTTTACAAAGCACTCTGGATAGAAAATATAGTTTGGCTGCTGGAGCACTAAATGTCAGTGGAAACAAAATAATACTAATAATAATAATAATAATCATAGAATCAAAGAGTTGGAAGAGACCTCATGGGCCATCCAGTCCAACCCCCTGCCAAGAAGCAGGAATATTGCATTCAAATCACCCCTGACAGATGGCCATCCAGCCTCTGTTTAAAAGCTTCCAAAGAAGGAGCCTCCACCACGCTCCGGGGCAGAGAGTTCCACAGCTGAACGGCTCTCACAGTCAGGAAGTTCTTCCTCATGTTCAGATGGAATTTCCTTTCTTGTAGTTTGAAGTCATTGTTTCGTGTCCTAGTCTCCAGGGAAACAGAAAACAAGCTTGCTCCCTCCTCCCTGTGGCTTCCTCTCACATATTTATACATGGTGAAGAAGAAGAAGAAGAAGAAGAAGAAGAAGACGACTCTGGCACAAACCAGTAAAAGTGGTCCCAGTGGTGACCACTTTTAGGCACACTGGGTGCAGTGCCTAAAGACCTTGGCCTGCACTTACACAATCAGCGCTGACAAGATTACCATCTGCCAGCTGCAAAAGGCCACCTTACTGGGATCTGCACACATCATTCGCCGATACATCACACAGTTCTAGACACTTAGGAAGTGTCCGACGTGTGATCCAATACAACAGCCAGCAGAGTGTCTGCTGTGGACTCATCTTGTGGTGTTTCAAATAATAATAACTACTTTATTTTTATACCCCGCCACCATCTCCCCAAGGGGACTCGGGGCGGCTTACATGGGGACATGCCCAAAATCACAGGTAAAACAACAGCATTAAAAACAATCAAATAGAAATACAACACAATCACATCAGCAACAACATTAAAACAAAATCATGGCTGGAAAACAGACAAAATAATGTATACAAACTGACTCAAACGCTTTAGCACTGTAGTCGCTTTACCCATGGATAAATATACAATCAACAAGAAACAGAAATAGAGTATGTCAGTTGTCCATTTGTGGGGACAAGAGTTTGAGTGAAAAATACTTGGAAAATAAGGATGGATGCTGCAGGTTATGGCTGACTTAGATCACTTAAGATAAAAAGTGCCCTAATTTATGTACAGTTTGTTCAGAGTGTGGAAGGTAACCCAATGTGCCTTGTCAACCTGCAAAGAAAAAAATCAAGCTATTGGTTAACAGGGGCACACCTGAGGGTGCTTCACCTGAAGGCTGCCACTCATTTATTCACCTGTAACAAAAAAGGCACATTAGTTTTATGAAAATTAGTAAGCTATTCAATATCCTATCCTTCCAGCACAGGACTCATACAGCAAGTTCAATGAAGTCAAGCAGCATATAGCAAATTCAAATGAAGTACAGCTAACATTTCCTAACTATGCTATGATAGCACTTGTGTGAGGTTATTTTCAACAGATGAAATGAAGCAACATTTGGTTCCTGCTTTGTGGCAAGCATTCTGGGAATTTTCAAAAAGAATATTAGAGAAAACTATTGCTTCTAAGTACTTAGAGACATCTCTGATCTATACTACAACTCTGAGATGGCCTAATTCTTGTACTCTGTTCCCTGTGGAGAAGGCATATTCCCTGTGGATATTTCAAAGCCAGAACTTTGGGATTTGAATGTCAGTATATATAAACGTCTGACAGCCCAAAGTTTTAAAATATGGCTGGAAATACGAGAAATAGCCAGAGTTGTCAGATCTTAAGCCAAGGAAGTTTTTCCAGATGTCATGTTGTTCTTGCCAGAATCTTGTAGTATGTTTGCCTGTCTTAATACAT